TTTACCTTTCCACTGAAAGGAAGGGTCACGTGACTGACACAGCCAGGCCACCAGCATCACTGTTTCCGTGCTCCAGAGCCTTGGCAAGTAAAACACAGCTGTTACCCAGCAGCCGGTCTGATAACCTAGAGGTGCTAAAGGATGGACTGATGGGTGGCATACAGTGTAAGAATGCTGCTCGAAGGGTGACTGCTGTCTTGGGAAAGAAGGCACCAAGACAGCATTATCACAAAGAACAATGCACCATCTACAACTGAAGTGCTGTTTCTCATTTTCCAACTTTGACTGAAGTAGAGCAATGTCAACTGAAACCCCAAAAAGCAAAATGACTGCTAGGTGTAAGGCAGGCTATCAACGAGTACATAAAATACAAACATGCTTCCTGACTGAAAATTTCAAAGTATTTTAAAACAATCACACTTGCATACTCAAAAATATTCACAGAAGTTCAAATTTAGGAAATGGAATGTTAGTACTTTAAAATTTTTTTATATTTGTTTCATCTTCCAAACTTTCTTTTAAATTTATTTTATATGTAGAAGTGTTTTGTCTGCATGTATTTTTGTATATGACATCTGTGCAGTGCCTGAGGAGGCCAGAAGAGGACTCTAGATCCCTTGGAGCTGGAGTCACTGTGGTTTTAAACCACTGCATGGGGGCTCTGAACTGAACCTGGGTGCACCCAGTGCTCTTTTTATTTTATTTTTTTTATTAATTACACTTTATTCACTTTGTATCCCCCCATAAGCCCCTCCCTCCTCCCCTCCTGACCCCACCCTCCCTCCCCCTTCACGCATGCCCCTCCCCAAGTCCACTGATAGGGGAGGTCCTCTTCTCCTTCCTTCTGATCTTAGTCTGTCAGATCACATCAGGAGTGGCTGCATTGTCATCTTCTGTTGCCTGGTAAGGCTGCTCCCCCCTCAGGGGAAGGTGATCAAAGAGCAGGCCAATCAGATTATGTCAGAGGCAGTCCCTCTTCCCATTAGTATGGAGCCCACTTGGACACTGAACTGTCATGTGCTACATCTGTGCAGGGGTTCTAGGTTATCTCCATGAATAGTCTTTGGTTAAAGTATAAGTCTCTGGGAAGTTCCCTGGTGTTCAAATTTTCTGGTTCTGTTGCTCTCCTTGTGTGATTCCCATCCTCTCCAGCTCTTACTGTTTCCCACCTCTTACATAAGATTCCATGCACTCTGCCCAACAGTTGGCCATAAGTCTCAGCATCTGCTTTGATAGTCTGTAGGGCAGAGCCTTTCAGAGGCCCTCTGTGGCAGGTTCCTAGGTTGTTTCCTGTTTTCTTCTTCTTCTGATGTCCATGCTCTTTGCCTTTCAGGATGGGGTTTGAGCGTTTTAGTCAGGGTCCTCTCTCTTGATTAGTTTCTTTAGATGTACATATTTTACTAGGTTTATCCTATGTTATATGTCTATATGAGTGAGCATATGCCGTGTGTGTCTTTCTGCTCTGGGACAGCTCACTCAGGATGATCCTTTCCAGGTCCCACCATTTACCTGCAAATTTCATGATTTCCGTATTTTTCATTGCTGAGAAATACTCCATTGTGTAGATGTACCACAATTTCTGCATCCATTCTTCAGTTGAGGGGCATCTGGGCTGTTTCCAGCTTCTGGCTATTACAAATAAAGCTGCTACAAACATGGTTGAGCAAATGTCTTTATTGTGTACTTTTGGATATATGCCTAGGAGTGGTATGGCTGGATCTTGAGGAAGTGTTATTCCTAGCTGTCTGATCAAGTGCCAGATTGATTTCCAGAGTGGTTGTACAAGTTTACATTCCCACCAGCAGTGGAGGAGGGTTCCCCTTTCTCCACAGCCTCTCCAGCATGTGTTGTCACTCGAGTTTTTCATCTTGGCCATTCTGATGGGTGTAAGGTGAAATCTCAGGGTCATTTTGATTTGCATTTCCCTAATGGCTAATGACGTTGAGCATTTCTTTAAGTGTTTCTCTGCCATTCGATATTCCTCTACAGAGAGTTCTCTGTTTAGCTCTGTTCCCCATTTTTTAATTGGATTACTTGGTTTGCTGTTTTTCAGCTTCTTTAGTTCTTTATATATACTCGATATTAGTCCTCTGTCAGATAAAGGGTTGGTGAAGATTCTTTCCCAATCTGTAGGCAGTCGTTTTGTTTTGATGACGGTGTCCTTTGATTTACAGAAGCTTTTCAGTTTCATGAGGTCTCATTTATTGATTGTTGCTCTTAGAGCCTCTGCTGTTGGTGTTCTGTTCAGGAAGTTGTCTTCTGTGCCAACGAGTTCAAGGGTATTCCCCACTTTTTTTTCTAGCAGATTTAATGTGTCCAGTTTTATGTTGAGGTCTTTGATCCACTTGGACTTTAGTTTTGTGCAGGGTAATAAGTATGGATCTATTTTCATTTTTCTACATGTAGACCTCCAGTTAGTCCAGCACCATTTGTTGAAGATGCTATCTTTTCTCCATTGTATGGTTTTGGCATCTATGTCAAAGATCAGGTGTCCATAAGTGTGTGGGTTTATTTCTGGGTCCTCTGTTCGGTTCCATTGATCCACCATTCTGTTTCTATTCCAGTACCATGCAGTTTTTATAACTGTTGCTCTATCGTACAGCTTAAGATCAGGGGTGGATATACCTCCAGAAGATCTTTTATTGTAAAGGATTGTTTTAGCAATTCTGGGTTTCTTGTTATTGCATATGAAGTTGAGAATTTTTCTTTCCAGGTCTGTAAAGAATTGTGTTCGTAATTTCATGGGAATTGCATTGAATCTGTAGATTGCTTTTGGTAAGGTGGCCATTTTTACTATGTTAATCCTGCCAAGCCATGAGCATGGGAGATCTTTCCATCTTCTCATATCTTCTTCTAATTCTTTCTTCAGAGACTGGAAATATTTTTCATACAAGTCTTTGACTTGTTTGGTTAGGGTTACTCCAAGGTACTTTATCTCATTTGTGGCTATTGTGAAAGGTGTTGTTTCCTTAATTTCTTTCTCAGCCCTTTTGTCTTTTGTATACAGGAGGGCTACTGATTTTTTTTGAGTTAATTTTGTATCCGGCCACTTTACTGAAGGTGTTTATCAGCTGTAGGAGTTCCCTGGCAGTTTTGGGGGGTCACTCACGTATACTATCATATCATCTGCAAATAATGATAATTTGACTTCTTCCTTTCCAATTTGTATCCCCTTGATCTCCTTCAACTGTCTTATTGCTCTAGCAAGGACTTCCAGAACTATGTTGAAGAGATATGGAGACAGTGGGCAGCCTTGTCTTGTCCCTGATTTCAGTGGTATTGCTTTATGTTTCTCTCCGTTCAGTTTGATGTTGGCTATAGGCTTGCTGTATATCGCCTTTACTATGTTTAGATACGTGCCTTGTATCCCTGATTTCTCCAATACTTTTAACATGAATGTATGTTGGATTTTGTCAAATGCTTTTTCAGCATCTAGGGAGATTATCATGTGGTTTTTTTCTTTCAGTTTGTTAATATGGTGGACATTGATGGATTTCCGTATATTGAACCGCCCCTGCATACCTGGAATGAAGCCTACTTGGTCATAGTGGATAATATCTTTGATGTGTTCTTGTATTTAGTTTGCAAGTATTTTGTTGAGTATTTTTGCATCAATGTTCATAAGGGAGATTGGCCTGAAATTCTCTTTCTTTGTTGGGTCTTTGTGAGGTGTAGGTACCAAGGTGACTGTGGCTTCATAGAATAAGTTTGGTAATGTTCCTTCTGTTTCTATTTTGTGGAATAGTTTGAAGAGAACTGAAGTTAGCTCTTCTTTGAAGGTCTGGTAGAATTCTGCACTGAAGCCATCTGGTCCTGGGCTTCTTTTGAATGGGAGACTTTCGATGACCTCTTCTACTTCCTTGGGGGATATAGGACTATTTAATTGATTTACCTGGTCCTGATTCAGCTTTGGTAAGTCGAATCAATCAAGAAAATTGTCCATTTCATTTAGATTTTCAAATTTAGTGGCATATAGACTTTTGAAGTAAGTCCTAATGATTATTTGGATTTCCTCACTGTCTGTAGTTATGTCCCCCTTTTCATTTCTGATTTTGTTGATTTGGATGGTGCCTCTTGCCTTTTAGTTAGCTTGACTAAGGGTTTGTTTATCTTGTTTATTTTCTCAAAGAACCAGCTTTTGGTTTCATTGATTCTTTGAATTGTTTTAATTTGTTTCTAATTGATTGATTTCAGCCCTGAGTTTGATTATTTCCAGCTGTCTACTTCTCTTTGGTGTGTTTGCTTCTTCTTTTTCTAGTACCCAGTGCTCTTAAACCATCTCTCTAGCTTCTCTCTGAAACTTTCTACCATGGAAATGTATACTAAAGAATCATTAAGTCTTATATTCACAGTCATTACCAATTTTTCCCACCGTTTATCCTAAATAAACAATACTTCTAAAAGTGACAGCTCTGGGTAGGGCTGACATTTCTAAGTTGGGAACAGTCTGAGTTTTGCTCTTGAAACACAAAGGAAGGGCAGTGTCTCAGCCAATATCTTCTTGCTATGATAAAACACCACAATCAAGGCAACTTTAGAAGAAGAATTTTCTTGGGCTTCTGGTTACAAGGGGTCAGAGCCCATGATGGTGGAGCAGAGGCAGCAGGCAATAGCTTTGGCAGCTAGAGCAGAAACTGAGAGCTCCCATTTTGAACCTCAAGCAGGAAGTAGAGAGTACACTAGGAATGGTATAAGCTCTGAAACCTCAAGGCCCACTTAGGTGGCACACTTCCTCAACAAGGCTAGACCTCTCGAGCTTCCCCAATCAAGACCACCATCTGGTAACCAAGTTTCAAATGCCAGAGCCTCTGGGGAACATTATCATTCCAACCACCACAGGCAGCAACTTAAGCAAGCATAATAATAAGAACATGCAACCCAAGAAGTAAAGAAATATTACTGTTTATTGAACAATTAAATAAGCAAGAGTTAAAACATTTAAAATATATAAAAATAACATTAAAATATTTTAAAACTGTAAAAATAAGTGCATTAATTAAAAATACTTTAACTGTGTGTCACTAAAACTATGTAAATACAGGACACTAAGGATCTTCTTTACAAGAGTAGCATCTATTCTTCATAAAGTTTACAGGTTATGCACAGTTTTCTAATGAATGGAAGAAATAACAGCTTATTTCTTGCTCATCTTTTCTAACACCCATTCGATTACCTGGGGAAGAAAACAGGAATGTGACTATGCAAAATACACATGATAAAACAACTCTATACATCTTCAAAAAAAAAAAAAAAAAAAAAAGAAAAAAGAAAGAAAGAAAGAAAAAAGAAAACAGCTTTAGAGTCTGTGTTTCCTCCTGAGCACTCACTTCTCTTACCTTTCCTGTTTAGGCCAATATTAAAATATCTTTGTTAAACCTCAACTCAATTTATTTTAAAAGAAATCTTCAAAGACAGCACATACACAAAAAAGGTAAAGTAAAAAGGGAACATTCAACGTTAATACTTACAGATATTTTACTTTTCAAATAAAGGTATGAGCCCCATATACAAAGCTGAAACCAGAGACTGTCCTCAATGGACCAGATGACTACCTACTTTCTTACCTTCATTTCTAAGTACCTCTGGAAAGGGTCACTCAAAATAGTTAAACCAATCCTGGAAAACAGCTAATCATAATGAAATATTTTTTCCTAGCTCTTTGGATTTTTTTTAAATTTTTCTCTTTTAATATCATTTGAGAAAATCTTTTTTTTTTTTTTTTTTTTTTTACAAACCTACACCTAGTAAGTGTACAATCTGCCTGAACAGGCTATTGTTAAATATTGGGACATCTCATGGTGTTGAAAAGACCATCTCTATTTCTAACTGTACGTATAACAGCAGTACAGCAACCCTGAAACAAAATGCCAACTTAACTGAATGTGGCGTCTTGAGAAGTACTTACTTACCTGCACCACATTGTTGTTGGCTGTTTTCTTCATTTCTTCAAAGAGACCCCTTGATGTTTTAAGATCCTAGAAATGAGTGAAACACAGCATTTGGAGCCTTGTTCATTATATTACAGACAGCTCATTATAAATAAACTTGAGATTACCCTAAATAATTCTACAAGGGCCACTGCCAGTAGGGAAGGACTACCCAGAATCAATGTAATGTTACAGTCTCATCCTGAAATACAGAAGTACTCTAACCAAGCACACACACACACACCCTTCATCCCACATCTCCAACAGTGCTGGCCGATGCTCACCCTCACCACTGTACCACTTTAGTACTTAGGAAATGAATATGTGCTTTCTACTAATTATTCAGATATTTACTTTTTTCTTCTTTTTAGGTATTTTGCTCCACCACAAAAAGGACTAAAACTACAGTCTTACTTTCTAAAATATAATGATAAGGCTGGAGATTTGGCTCAGTGGTAGAGCACCTGTGTACCATGTCTTGGATTCAAGTTCCAGAAAGGGGAGGTGGGTGGAAAACCTATCAAATTAAAACTCAAAATTAATAAGAAGACCTTAATTGTACAAAAAGGAGGAAAAATGCAGTCCTCTAGCAAGTTATGCCTCACAGAGGCAGCTACTTTGAATTCTTCTAGCAATTCCTCCTGTTTGTACCTTTATGTTTCCATTTGTCATGCTTTGCTGGTCCTTGATGATTTAGTAATTTCAGCATGACTACGAATAGCTTGAATCATTAATAGTTAGATCCAAGTCTATGCACAGAACCTACCTTCTTCTCTTCCTCTGGTACAGTTGCATCACAGCTTGTGATCCATAATTAGCTTATATTTGCTTTATTACGTCTAAGCAAAGGCAGTGAAGCCACAAGGCAATTAGTCTACTGTGGCTCTGTCTCTTTCACTCAGCCTTTTACACTTCCTGTAACGAAACTACCTGGATATTGGTTTGTTTGTTGTTTTTTTCTTTCTCCACTTACAGTGTTCCATCTACATAACTCTGGTATTTCCTCTTCTCTCACAATGGATTGATTAAATGCCTAAAAAGGCTTTTTAAAAGACTGACAGGTCCTGGATAATCCCTTATTTTAGTTTTCTGTGAATTTTTACTTCCAACTTCCTTGTTTTTTCTTAACTCGCAGACCTTCCTACAGCATGCCCCAGTTGCCAACCTTCTCCCTAGGCCAGGCCCGCTGTGACTTGTTTTCCTCATTCTAGGTCGTTTTTTTTTTTTTAAATCTTGATTTAGCCTTCTATGTGCTCAACTTGATTTTTTAGCAGATTCCATAAAACAAGAAAAATATATTTTAAACCTCTTCTGGTTTGAAAGTGTCTCTACTGAGCCTTCACATCTGATTGGATCATAGGCCAGACAGGCCGCTCAGATTACTACCAGACAGGACACTTTCCTTCAGAACCTGAAGGTACTTTTACCATCTTCTAATGTACCAAGATGCCATGGAGAAGTTTGATACCATTTAATCCTTGATCCTTTCAATATATAACCGTCCTTTCTCTTGGGACATCTCAGAAAGTATTCTGGATACTTGGAGATAGGGCATTCCAGTGGCTTGCTGTCATTTTAACTCATTGACTTGGGTAAGCAGCATCTTTTCCAGCAAGAGGCTTGAGTTCCTCAGTGCTGGGCACTTTTAAAAATATAATTTTTTTATTTGTGGAGTTTATAGTATAATTACATCATTTCTCCCTTTCTTTCCTCCTTCTATCCCCTTCCATGTAAGTCCTGCCCCCTCTTCTGAATCTTTGGCTTTCTTTTAATTATTGCTGCATACTATTACTCATGCTTGCGGGTTAGGTCTAAGGCAGAGAAGATCAAACAACACCTAAGTTTCAGAAACCTGACATCCAACTGTCCTCCAGTACCTGGAAGAAGCTCAGTGGGAAAGGATGTCTAGTGTGTAAACATGAGGACCTAAGTTCAAATCCTCAGCACCAATGTAACCCCAGAGTTAAAAGGTGGAGATGGGAGAATCCTGGGAGCGCACTGTCTAACCATGGCAGCCAAAATAACAAAAGAGTCCAGATTAGTGAGAGACCCTGTCTTACTATCCATCTGTGGCCTATGAATGCACACACAATATAGCTCACAAACATGACACACAAAAACGTGTGATTTAAAAGAAAAATGAAGAAACTATCACCTGAGCAGCCCCTTCCTGCCACAGCAGACTCCTTACATCTGGCCAAAAGTAACAGCTGCTCCTTTATTGCTTTTTGTAGTAAAACACCATACTCCCCATTCAGCTTTATATAGCTTAATTATAAAATAATTACTAATTAATGCTAAAGCACCAACTTAGTAGAAGGCCTGTTAGGAAAAACATTAAGGCAGCTTTTGAGACACAAGGCTACGTAAAGTCAAATAAAGCAAATGGAAAGCAGTTTCCCTCCAGTGTTTCTGTCTCCATTTAAGGCAGCTTGGCAGCCAGTATGCATGAATAATATAAAAGCTTTGTGCCCACTTACAGCCAACAGAAACATCAGAACATGAACTAAGCCCCACCATGAACAGAGAAAACACCACACCTTTAGGTAGAACTTGGAGATGTCAAAGAGTCTCTGGCTGCAGGCAGCAAAGCTCTCATGGTTCCTAGTGATGCGGTGCCTCTTTAGGGTTTCTGTCACCACTTCCTTCAGCATCTGCAACAGAAGGAACACGTGGTTGACATTTCTCCAAAAGGCTACAATTATTTCAACTTTGATCATAAACAAGTTGTGAGTTATACAGACATTTGCCTGTACTAAAGATAAATACGGTTGTTTTGACAAAACACTCGAGAAAGATGAAGCCTGTAACATATACATGGTCATCCATGTGTCAGGATTCATGTTCAGCAGGAGATGCCTAGAGTAGCTGGTGAGAGGAACTGAAATGATGAGCTGTGACCTCAAATCCAAATGTTAGCTATACACAACAGAAATGAATACACAGCAGGGCATTTTTTTTTTTTTAAAAAAAGGACAATTTCAAACGTGGAAAATGAAGAGGGTACTTTTACAACATTCCTCTTCTGATGCACTGAAATGCCAAAATATTATAGTAAGTAATCAATTATAATAAGTAATCATGGACCTTCTCTCTTGGCCACACTGTCAACTGAACTATGGCTTCACCCATGCTACACAAGTGCTCTCCTGCTGAGCGCCAGCCTTCGCCATCCTTCTGGCATCAGATGATTTTAAACTGTGGGTGTTATTTATTTTTCATAAAACTGATATGTTGTTAAAGATTCACACAATGAAATTTCTTTTCATGTGGAACTGAGAAAGTGGGAAGTCTTTACCCGTGTATGTTTCTGTGATCGTGATTCCTTAACTTGCTTTGATGACTTCGATGTGTGTACACTTTTTTGTCCTGAGCTGATCTTTGTAGTGACTTGGGAAGCTTCGCGACTAGGAATTGGAAGCACGGACACACATCGCTCTGCCTGAGGCTTTCTGGATGTCCCCAAGTGACGATAATGATTGCTATTGCAACTTGAGTGAGAAAGCAGACAATCAGAACTTTCTGATTTTGTAAGTCTGTAAGGAGAAAAAAAGGAAAAATAAAATGAATCAACAACAGAGTCTACTTTCTGCTTTAACTGTTATTACGATTATTTCCTTTCGAATATAAATTCAAGAAAACTAAATTCTCTTGCTAATTTATATTAAATAACTGACACCAAACACAATGAAGCTGTTCCTTTAGTTCTGTGAATCATTCACTGTGACAGTGTTGTCAAGTTGGCTCTCCTGAGAGAAGGCCCCTGAGCATGCCTGTGCCAGTTACCAAGACTGCACAGATGCTGTGGAAAGACTCACCTTACAGTGAGTGGGCCGCTCCCTCTCCAGGGGAGGCCGGACTGTGTAAGGCAGCTGAGTACCAGGCTGCATTCATTGTCTCTGCTGCTGACTGTGGACAGGATGTGCCTGATCCAGCAGCATATACACTGGTATATGGATAGGATATGTGCACCTGCACAGTGACTTCCCTAGCCATGCAGGACTGCAGACCTCAACTGCGAGCTGGAAGAAGCCTTTTCTCTTCTACATTGCTTTTGTCAGGGTATTTTATCAGAGCAACAGAAACATAACTAGGTCAGTACTTAAAACAGTGATAACCAGAATTGTAGCTAATAGGGAAGGCAATAAGCAATATTAGGACATTATATACTTAATAGCCTACTAAGTACTTATATTTTCACAAAAGAAATTTTAGAAAGAACCTATAGACCTTTGTGTTGTGTCTTTGTAACTATGCAAAGTAACTGAAAACAAAAGTAGAACAAAAACTGGTTCTTATTTCAGTTTTTCTAAAATATTTAAAATATTTTCAAAACAGACAGCAGAGCCACTGTATGCTCCTCTTAGGCTACAGTACATTTTTCTTTCTGAATATAAATCTTTTTATCAGTTTTGCTTTGCAATTTAACCAGACATAAAAAAATGCCATGAACTAACAAAGTTCTCATAAAAATCATTTAGCTATTTCATAGCAGGAAATATTATTCTCATATTTTTACCTGTTCAAAGACTTGAAAGTTTTATTTCTACATATTTTATAGTTATTTTTAAAGGCTTAAATACAGCCAGAACCTACAGCATATTTTATATGTCAAGGGCCTAAATATGATCTGTAAATTCAGTATTTATTTTGTCAACATCTAAATTCTAATATATTTGGACTATTTGGCTAGCAAAAAAAAAAGGTGTCTTGAAAAGTTCCATAAAATGAAATACGTAGACTTTAAAGCTGCATTTACCTGTAACAAGCAGTTTTAAATGGAGGCCCAGCAGCACCTTGCTTGAGGGCCCATGCAAGTAGGAGACAGGGCAGAGAGAAAGAGTGAACACAGATTCCACCTTCAAACATCTTCAACAGGGCAGCCCGGGGCTTCACCTACCCTGGCATCTCTAGTCTCCTTGAGTGAACAGCGTTACACTAACATCACCTTAACAGACTGTGCATTAGCATAGAAAGCCAGAGTTCTCTTTTTTCCAAGTCATTTCTTTTTATACCTTACAAGCAAAACTACTCAAAAACAAATTTCCTAGTATGAAGGAATGAATCTAAAACCCTATGCAGAAAGCAGCATAAAAATACCAAGCAGACATGAAAAGCAGCCCCCCAGAGACTAAAACACTTCTCTGGAGGTGCTGCTCCTGTGTGCTTGCCGGGTCACCTTTTCTGGGGGTAAAGGCAGCTGGCCTCTTTAGATCTCCGTTTCAGTCCAGAAACTTCACTTCGGAGTTCGCCTTGTAGTGCTTCTCCATCAGGGACACTCCGAGGCTCTGACAGAACTGCCGGGGATGGAAGAGGACTCAACACAGTGGGGACTGGAAAACTGTCTCTGGTGCAGGTGGTCTGGGTCTCATAACGAATAAGACGAGATTGAAGTTCAGAAAATCCCCCATCTCTTTCTAAAGCTTTTTGGTCATCCAAGCAATATCTAAAATGAGGAAAGAGCATTAAAATCAAACATCCAGGAGAACAATGGGATTTTTTTTTTTCCCTCTCTTAAAAAAAAAAAAAAAAAAGCCAGCAAGACACTGGCTTAAAAGTTACTTGTTTCCTAAGAATTGTTGGACAGTTGGGTGAATGGCCTACTTCTCACCAGCTCACTTTTTTTTTTTTTTTCTATTCTGCTATTCGACAAAAGATTGACAAATGTGAAGCACAATCAGATTCCCCTTCAACTGAGCTTTGTGCCAACAGATTCAGCTCATCCTTTGGATTACTTTCAAACTAGCATGGCTGCTGTTTTAATATTTCTTAAAACTCTAGCCACCCCTGACTTCTTAGCATGACTGAGACACAACAATGGGAAATGCTGACTATGCTAGAAAGGGAAAGTTTATTTTCAACACAAAGATTTACAGGTACAAAGGCATTCAAAACTGAAATTCCCTCATTACTGGACTTACAGGTTTTCTTTTAAATGGGCTGGTTGCCTGTATATTTAGTTTCTGGTTAAACCTAATCCAGTGAATCAATGATGTTATCACCTGTGCTTCTGGACTCAAAATCCCATGCTAAGCACAGGAAATAAGCATGCAGGGAAAGCACGGATGACCTTGCAAAGCTTCTCCACTTCCTCCCCTGTAACTGCTCTGAGGAACACAAATGACTTTAGCCAGGAATTGGTCCAAGTACAAACAACTCAAACCGTTTTGTGTCCTTTTCACCTATAAAAGTGGCCTAACACGGTCTCAAGGAACACATTTCTCAGAGACCTGACAGCCCAGTAAGAGTCTCAGAACTTTATTTTTCCCTCAGGATACATATATGATTGCAAAGATTATAGACCATAAATTTAAATGCATTTAAATCCTGGTTGCTTTACCTATTAGCTATGTGAATTTGGCCACATTATTTTATGCTTCTGCTGCTTGACCAGCAAAATGTAATTCATAGTGCCTATGGAAGGAGGCACTATCGAGACTATTCGTGAGCAGTGTATGAGGGTCAAATTAGGAAACATGCAAACCGACCACCAAATGAACAAGGCTGCCTCCATCATGCCCAGTGTGACTTACAACACAGAGATCACACACAGACTAGTTGGAACATAAACTCCAGTTGGTGACTACAGGGCCTGACTAATCTTTTAACCCACTGGAAACCTGAATATATACATACAGACACTTGGAAGTCTCAGCCACTGACACTTCCAAAAGGGATGTAAAGGTGATTCTAAAAGAAAAAGAGAATACACAGAATAGACGGCAGAATAAAGGTCATGGTTGGGAGAGCAGCAGTGGTGTCAGTGCAAGGGTCCAAAATGACAGACTTCATAGGATGAATAAGAGATCTAAAGTGCAGCATGAAGACGACCGTGTGTGCTCTAGTCTACAAATCTGCTCACATGAGACTTTCATGACCAAAAGGTACTATGATATCGTGGCTCTGTTAGCCTGACTGCAGTAACCATTTCACTCTGAACATGTACAATAACATTGTATTATATATCTTATATATACAGCTGCAATACAAAGCTGCTTAAGTGCTCCTAAAGTGCAGACTGGAGGAGCTCTGGTCAAAAGTACTTGAACTACGAGAACACAGTTCTTCAGTCAGAGGACCGACTGATGGACGAGCAGAGCTAGAGCATGGGTCTCAATGCTTCATACTCTCTCTAGTCTTTGGTTTAACTTATTTTGTGAAAAATCAGCAGTAACCCTGAGGTTACTTGTGAATGTTTTGGTTTATGATATGTAAGTATGCTTCTATTATAATCCCAAGTGGAGGATTTAAGTTTGTCCAAACCTGTCAATTGTCTTGTGCGGAGCATGTTCTTTGCCAGCCGGAATTAGTTGAATTCTGAAGATTTTAAGGGGTATAAGTATGGTAGCCCAGAGGAAGAAGGTGGTGGCTTAGAGAAGATGGAGGAGGACTGCGTGCAGGTTTGCTGGACTTCTGGATATCCCAACGACGGACACTGGTATTGCCCCCAAGAGAACCCTATGGCCCTACCCAGCAGAAAGGAGTAAAGAGGGCTACATATACTTCCCCTTACAGCTTCCCCACAACACACCACCTGGGGCTCAGGGCAAAGCTTAGAAAGGAGGCATAAGGTTTAAGGAACCCCAAAATAAAGTAGCATTTGAAAACCTAGCACCTACCTACATACACTTACTCAGACTCTGTCCTGGGAGATAAATAAAATAGTAAAATGAAGAATCATGAATCTGTGCAAAGATTCTGGGCAAGAACCAATGCAGTATCTGATTAGCCTGTATAGAGAACTGTTTTGAGAGAAAAATATCCTTTCATTATAAGGATATTTTTGTACTATAATGTTGTTTCTAAGACGGACTTTTACCTGTCTCATAATCCCAGGCCTCCCAATGCCCTTCACCTGAATTATGTACACTGCACATGCTCCCTGTGCTGCCATTAAAATGCCCTTTAAGACAAAGTGACTTAGTAAAAGGAGAGACACAGGATACAAGGTATATATCTGATGTTAGGAAATATTTATTGTTGGACAAATGATTAACAGCTTCATATTTTCTACGTAAGAATAGCTAAATGTTTTATGGGTCTAGTGCTAGCTAGTTTTATGTCAACTTGACACAAGCTAAAGACATCTCAGAGAAGGGAACTTCAATTAAGAAAATGCCTTTCTGGTTGATTCACCGGTCTCTGCAGGACCCCCTGGGCCCAGACTTTTTGGTTCTGTTGGTTTCCTTATGGTGCTCCTGAATCAACCAAGGACCATGCAATGGAGAGGACCTAGAACCCCTTCTCAGATGCAGCCCATGGGCAGCTCAGTCTCCATGGGGAGAGGGGTCCCTAGTAAGGGGAGCAGGGACGGTCACTTGACATGAACTTGGTTGCCTGCTTTTTTGATCACCTCACCCTGGTGAGGTGGCCTTACTTGGCCACAGAGAAAGAGAATCCAGGCAGTCCTGATGAGAACTATGGGCTAGGGTCATATCGAGGACCTCCCTTATCAGTGGACGACGGGAGGGACATAGAGGGGGGGAAAAGAAGGGAGGGTGGGATCGGACAGAGATGAGGGAGTGGGTTACAAAGTGAGTAAATTATAAATAATAATAATGAAAAAAATAACAAAAAAATGCCTCCATAAGATGGGGCCATAGGCAAGCCTGTAGAACATTTTCTTAATTAGTGACTGATGCAGGAGGGCCCAGAACATTGTAGATGGGGCTACTCCTGAGCAGGTTGTCCTGTACTCTGTAAGGAATCAGGGTGAGCAAGCCCCGAGGAGCAAGGCAGTAAGCAACACCCCCAGATTCTCACCCCATGGGAGTTCCTGTCCTGACTTTCTTCAGTCATGGACTATGGAAGTGGAAGCATAAGCCGCCTTTCCTCCCCAACTTGCTTTTTGTCATGGTGTTTCCTCAGAGCAATAGTAACCCAAACTAAGCCTAACCGAGAAAAATACCATCCTCGACATATAGGCAATGAAGAACTTGCTCTGTAAATTCCTCTGAAGTTTATTTCCATGTCATTATCTATATTGAGGACAAGTGTGTGTCCTCACGCTATAAACCCAAGTGTAAACAATAACAACAAAACCCATATGTTTCTGATTGGGGGTGGCCATCTCTTACAGAGAGGTTATCCTTGTCTCAATGTCCCCATCTTAATAATGCAAATTTACAGTTAAAAAAAATATAGGCAGACTTATTTGTTTGTGGACTAGAGAGAGTGCAGAGGGAAATTACTCTGCAATAAACACATCTCATGATACTGTAAATAAACCACCATGAGGGTTTAGGGCACTAATGCATAAACAAGTATTCGTTTAATATTTTAATAAATGAACATGAAGAACATATTGTTTATAAATTCAGATGTTCCATTAACATTTTTCTATATTAAATTAAAACAACAAGGAAAAATAGGAAGATGAAGCACAAGATAAACAAAACTAAACTATCACACTTGTAGAAACACACTCTACAATGCGGGCATTTGACAGACACTTCAGCTAGCTGTTAAGATGAAAGTATTACTGTTTTATTCAAAGCAGCGCTTCCATGAGCTTATAGGGCTAAAGAAGCAAAACAAAACAAACAAACACACAAACAAAAACCCCACAAACCTGTGTCAGTGCAGCAAAGCATATATTACTGATTTTTTATTTTCTCAGGTGGGACAACTCGGTGATAATATAAACTGTTGCTTACTGGCTTCAACTCTCAGATTTAAATTACATGCACAATATCTAGAACTTCTATTTAAGTTTCCTTAATCAATTAGAATCATTATATGTGCATGCATGAATATTAAGTATAATACTAAAAATAGAGTAAAAGACGCTAAACCTATTACAATTAGTAAAATATAACTTTATAGGTCATAGTTAAGGAATAGGATTTTAAAAATAAATTTAAAAACATGGAGTTGGGAAAGCGCCAGGTTGATTTCAAAAGTTACTGTACAAGTTTGCATTCCCACCAGCAATGGAGGAATGTTCCCCTTGTTCCACTTCCTCACCAGCATGTGTTGTCACTTGAGTTCTTGATCTTAGCCATTCTGATGAGGGTAAGATAGAATCTCAGAGTCATTTTGATTTGCATTTCCCTGAAGACTAAGGATACTGAGTAATTCTTTTTTTTTTTTTTTTGAAGGTTATTATCTTTTTTTTAATTAATTACACTTTATTCATTTTGAGAGTAATTCTTTTTTTAATTTTTTATTACAATTTATTTACTTTGTTTCCCAGCTGTAGCTCCTTCCTTCTTCCCCTCCCCATCCTACCCTCCCTCCCTCTTCTCCTCCCAAGTCCCTTCCCCAGTCCACTGATAAGGGAGGTCCTCCTCCCCTTCCATCTGACCCTAGCCTATAAGGTATCACACTGAGCATTTCTTTTAAGTGCTTCTCTGCCATTCAATATTCCTCTGTTGAGAACTCTCAGTTTAGCTATGTACCTCATTTTTAATTGGATTAAAAATTGGGAATAGTGTTACCTAAAGACCCAGGTATAGCACTCCTAGGCATATACCCAAAAGATGCTCCACTACACAACACAGAAATTTGCTCAACTATGTTCATAACAGCTTTCTTCATAATGGTCAGAAACTGAAAACAACTGAAGAACAAAGACAATCTGATACATTTACACAATAGAATACTACTTAGCTATTAAAAACAACGAAGGAGCTAACGAAATCTGCAGGCAAATGGATGAAACTAGAAAAGACAATCCTGAGTGAGGTAACTCAGAACCAGAAAGACACACATGGTATATACTCACTTATAAGTGGATATTAGCCAGATAGTACAGGATAACCATACTGTAATCCACAGACCCAAATATACTAAATAACAAGGAGGGCCCACCGGAAGGTACTTGATTCTCACTTAGATGAGGAAATAAAATAGACATGGCAAGTGGATAGAGCGAGAACTGGGTAGGAGAGGACATGGAGAGGGGAAGAAGAATGGAGATCAGGCATGAAGAGAGCAGAGTTGGGGTTGAGGTGGGAGGGCAGAGGCTATGATAAAGAAAGAAAATCGATGTGGGGAGCATCTCTTTGACAAGCTAGAGAACTGGGACAGGATGGGCTCCTGAGAGGATATGGAGTGAGTCTAGCTGAGACTCCTAGCAGCATGGGATATGCAGACTGAAGTGGCCACTTCCAATATCCAGGCAGGACTTCCAGTGGAGTGAAGGGGACACCAAGCCACCCACAAAACCTTCAACCCAAAATTTGCCCTGCCTATAAGAAATGCAGGGATAAAGGAGGAGCAAAGATTGAGGCAATGGCCAAACAACAACTGGTCCAACGTGGGACCCGCCCCATGGGAGAAAGCCAACCCTTGAGCCTATTAACAATACACTACTCTGCTTGCAGATAGGAACCTAGCATAACTGTCCTCTGAGAGGCTCCACCCACTGCCAATCATCAGGTGGAACTTGGGGAATCTTGTGGAAGAGTTGGGGAAGGGATGGATAGACCCAGAGGGGACAAGAACATGAAAGAAGAACAGAGACAACTGGCCTAGGCCCATGAAGGCTTACAGGGACAGAACCACCAACCAAAGAGTATGCATGGACTGGGGATCTAGACCACCTACACATATGCAGCTAATAAGCAGCTTGCTCTTCATGTGGGCTCCTAGCAACTGGAACAGGGCTATCTCTAACATGGACTTTGTGGCCTGCTTTTGGATCACTTCTCCCTAGCTGGGCTGTCTGGTCTGGCTTCAGTGGAAGAGGTTGTAGGCTGAGCTTACCTGATGTGTTGGGACAGGTTGGCATGGGGGAGGGGGGTTCCTCTACTATTCTGAGGAGAAAAGGAGGGGATATGGGGGAAAAGGGTGGGAAGGTAGGGCCCAGATGTTAAATGAATAAATTAATTAATGAAAGAAAGAGAGAGAGAAAGAATTCTAGCACTCAGTTGGCTTTCTCCTTTTTTCCTTTGTATTCAATTTTGATACCATGCCAAGGGTACCAGAGATGGTCCCACCCTATGGTGGTTTAAATGAAAATGCCCCCACAGGCTATAGGGAGTGGCATTATCAGAGGTGTTGCCTTGTTGGAGGAAGTGTCCCATAGGATGTAGGCATAAGGTTATTATGCAATTCAAATGCTTATTTCTATACTACCAATATCTGGTTACAATCCTTGTTCTGAGAATCTCCTGTCTTAATGATATATAAACTCTGCTTCCCAATTGTCCCCTAATATGCCAATAAGGGAGCTTACACCCATTTGCTGAGCAGAGGAGAAAATAGGGATGAACTTCCTGCCAGGCAGAGGAGGAGTCAGAGGAGGAAGCAGGGGATTCAGCCATGGTCAGATGTGCAGGGGGAGACCAGTAGAGAGAATCAGCAAGGAAAGCTACAAAATGAAAGTATAGCTGGGATGCGTGCTGGGAAGAATCCAAAATTAGCTTACAGCATTACGAATAGAGTTAATACTTCTCAGAATTGTGCTGTAAAGCTTGTGAATATACTGTAATAGAGTCTCAATTATTTGTGTGATAACTGGTTTTGGAGAAAAACATACAAAGTCTTAAAAAATTAACATTAGCAATAGGCGTTGGCTTTGAGGTTTTAGGAGTTTAAACCAGGCCCAATGGCCCACTTTCTCTTCCTGCTGCCTGCCAATCCAGATATAGACCTTTCCAGCAATTGCTACCATGCTTACTTCCATGATGATAATGGACTGAACTGTAAGTCAGCCCCAATTAAATGGGGTTGTTGTTGTTTTGTTTTGGTTTGATTTGGTTTTTCACAAGGAAAAAAAAATAGGGCTGGGTGTGGTGGTGCACACCTTTAATCCCTGCACTAGGGAAGCAGTGGCAAGCAGATCTCTATAAATTCAAGATCAGCTTGGCCTACATAACAAATCCAAGCCAGCTAGTGCTATTTAATGAGACCTTGTCTCAAAAAAGGAAAGGAAAAAGAAAGCCCAACCAACCAAACAGCAGCAGTTGGGGAGAAAATTCAGTAGGTAAGAGAGCTTGTTATATATTCATAAGGACCTAAATTCAGATCCTCAGCACAAAGCACAAAAGGCTAATTATGGCTGAGTATTCCTGTAAACCCAGCTTCAGAAGGAATGAAAGCAGAAAAACAGGATTGTCAGAATATTGCTGGTGACCAGTTTTGTTGAAAAAAAAAAAAAAATCACTGAACTCTGGATTCAATGAGACACCTTAAAGGGAATAAGGCAAAGAACAACAGAGGAAGGAATCCAGCCCTGTCCTCCACATATGCATGCACAGCCACACAACTACAACTCCCCCCACACGTACACACACTAACAAACACGCACACATACTCGCCTCCACAAACAAAAAACAAAAATAACTGAAATGTAAGTAAATAAATATCAGTAAAACCAATGAGAAAAAGGGGAGCTGCCCCCCCCCATTTTTGAAAGCAGAGTTAGCTTTATATGGAGACACTAAAAACAATGTTGACAATATCCTTTAGAAGTAAACACTAAGGAAAACTGAAGCCAAATAAAGCCAACAACGTGCTTCTGAAAAGTAAGACTGGAAGTAGGAACCAACAAAGAAAAGAATGTGATATGAAAGTTGGGGAATGATCTTGGGACAGGCTTGGGAGAAAGGGATGGAATGAGGGAGGTATGTGCTCTTAACCAAAACTAAGGCTGGCCGAAAAAGCTACATGAAAACCTACTACTTTGTAAACCAAGTAAAAACTTTAAAGAGTTTGACTATAAGCACCCTGCTTGGGTGAATGACGATGCTCCCAGAAGACAAAGGTTATTAGTGAAAATCACAGTGCCAGATATAGGGCACCTCCCTATGAATCACTGCTTAGGGAAGCTCTGTAAGGGGAAGTGAAAAGTAGATAGCAAGATACATTGTATGCATGCATAAAATTACTGAAGAGTAATTTAAAAGAAGAAAAATAATGGCTGCAGAGGTCATAGATCATAGAAGGAACCTACCTACTACTATTGTTTTGCTAAATATCTGTGCTGTGAAACTGCATTCTCAACACTTATGTTTATATCCATAGATTAGTGCTGTTCCCAGCCTTGCTCAGAGCCGCCTCTGTGTGCTGGAGGCAAAGGTTAACAGAGACTCATAACTGGTGCAAGTGCTGAGAAAAGCCAACTGTTGAGTGCTCAGCCCTAAACTGTACCTTTTTAGCACACCCAGGGAACAGCACAGAAACAGAGGCAGAAGAACGCTAGAAATGCAACTCAGGGACAAGTGCTAGACGACAAGTGCTTCTGGACAGGACATGGCCATTTGACTTACCAACTCACAAAGCTGTGGCCACCAGCACAGGAGCTGCGCACGACTAGGCCTATCAGTCTGGGATTCAGTGGGAGGTCCCACCCTCACTGAGAAACCACTGGCAATGAATGGTGCTTAGGTGCGTGTGGGAGGGGGTCATTTTCTTCAGTGGGATAGCCACTGAGCGGTTGCTCTTATCTGCTACAAATGCATACGCAAGCAACGCTAACAAAACTTAATTGTAACACAACATACAGAAAGGCAACAGGGTAGTGGAAGTGGAGTTTTTTAAAGAGAAGAAGTTTAGAGGGAATGTGAAGTGGATAATTTTAGTAAAATACTGAGTAACTAAAAACATGTTTAAATGAACCAAAACTAAATATTTTTTTAAAAAAAATATGTATTACATACTATTTTAAGGACATACGTTGTTTGGGGACTCTTTCAATTTATGCTATTTTATTTCACTTTCACTCCACACTCATAACAAACAAGCTGTAGCAACAAAGAAGTGTAAAAACTTACTCAATTCCATGGTAATGGCATTCTGAGGCTTTTTCAAAAGGTAAGACCTGAAGTTTCCGAGGACTAAGTTCTGGTGTCAGAACGAAAGGTTTTTCCCTGAAATGAAAAGGGTTTCATGTGTATTTAAAGCTTACTACATGACAGAAAGTTATTTTCAAGAAAACAAATCTGCCTTCCACCCCTTCATATGAGGGTTTGTTTGTTTGTTTGTTTGTTTGTTTGATGGTGTCCTGGTTAGTTTTTTGTCAACTTGACATGAGCTAGAGTCATTTAGGAGAGGAAACCTCAACTAAGAAAAGTATCTCCATTGGACAGGGCTCTAAGCGGGCCTGTGGGGCATTTCTTGAGTGGGAGAGTCAACTTACTATGGGCGGTGACACCCCTGGTGAGTCCTGGATGGCATAAGAAAAGAGGCTAAGCAATCTATGGGGTGCAAGCCAGTAAGTAGCACCCATTCATGGTTTCTGCTTCAATTCCTGCCCTGAGTTCCTTCATGATGTACTGTTTTCATAAGTACAAGCCAAATAAATCCTTTCATTTCCAAGTTGCTTCAATCTGTAACTTATCACAGCAATAGAAACCCCTTGTAAGATATAAAGCATACAAGTTAAGGACGCTGGATGTGATGGAGCAGGCCTGTAATATCCCAGCACTTGAGATGTGGAGGTGGAAGGGGCACCATGACTTCGATGCCAGCCTGGGCCCTGAAGTGAGTTTAAGGTGAGTCTGGAATATGGAATGAGATCCTGCTAGGTGGGAAGAGTTAATGTATACTGAAAAACCTAGGAAGGAAATAAGATGGGTTAGATCTGTGGTACTCTTTGCCTCATTTGTTTTCTGTGCCTCCATTTTAAAAATTACAATGGCATTCCCTGAACAAAATTTTATGAAAATGAGTAAATCAAGAAAGGAAGATGATTTTGTAATGTAAATTCAGAAAGCAACATTATTCCTAAAATGTATCACCCTGACCCTTGTTGAAATGAATGTGTGTTCAGTTGTTTAGTTAAAACATTTTCACAGAGGAATGAAGTTAACTTGAGTCTTTGGTAACAATAAAAGTATTTATTTCTTACTATAACTCACAAAGTGCATTTATCCTGTCATTTATGTTAGTTAAGAGTCAGCAACTTACAAGGATCAGGCCTAGAGATGAAGTGCTGAATTCAGTTCTTCTGAAGTAGGTTTCAATCAGCAGGCCCTTAGAACTAATGTTAGGTTGAACGTTCCTAAAATACCATTGCTTGATCCCTTCCTCACCTAAGCCGGTAGGGGTACTTGAACGGGAGAAGAGACAGGCTGCTGCAGTCAGATGAAGGTCGCTGGGTTCTCCTGACACGTGCCTCCTTCCTTGAGGAGTAATGAACCACTGGTCTAACGGAATCAGCCACAGTCCTGGAAGTCAGAACTTGCTCCATGGACACGGGCAAGGTCTGCCCCAGGGGCTGTTCTTCACACAGTGAGGTGCAGAGGGAACAGAGTGTGGAGGCAGGGCGGAAACAGGGTGCACTAACGGGAAGGCAGGGAAACCCAGAAAACCAAACTCTGCCTCTGCTCTCATAACCCACTCCTGACAGGAGTAAGAAAAGCTGCCCTGCTGCAACCAGAGATTATGTATGGAACTTAACAAGCACTGGAAATTATTACGTTAAAATGTCAGTCACGTGTCCATTAATGAATCTCAAAAATCACCTCATATGCTAATACCTTTATTTAAGGTGTCCCACAAAAAGTATCATTAATAAATTGCAATGAGCTCATTATTTTGATGAGGGATCCTTCAAACAAATAATCTGTAAGACAGAACTCAAGTATTTTACATTTTACTCTTTTCTTCATCATTTCTTATTTCACTCCTTCTTGCACATTCTAATTATTTAATTTTTCCTAGGGTACAGAGCATCACTGAGAAAACACCCTTTCTCCCCAGTACCATGCACAAAGGCAACGATGCTCTGACTCTATTTATGAGATAACTCAAAACCCCTCTAAAATGTACCTTTGAGATCATCATAGTACAATTCAAAACTAGCTTGGTAAAAGTGTTTGAAGTGAGATACAACTTTTATGATCCTTTAGGTTTTTAAAATAATGGCTTAACAATGAAAAAGAAGTTTGGGTAGTAAGCAAATTCTGCAATTTTCACAAGAAATTGATGCTACATTTTATTTATCTTTACATTTTATTTTATTTACTTAGCCAATGTCAACAACAGCCAGTATTTGTTAATTAGCAGTTTAATGGGTGTTGCCTCTGATGTCAATTCACATGTCAATGTAGATGCTGAGTTCATACTTGCTCATGTCATTGTTTCAAAAGAATTGTTAATATTTTCTCATCTCTTTCACTTGAAAGCCCATGTTTTTTTGCCATAAGTAGTAATGACTGATATCATCATGCTAAGTAGTAGCAAAATCAAAAATAGACAGTAATGCAGAAGAGAAAAATTTATATATATATATATATATATATCTGCAAATCAAAACCTAACTTCTTAAAACAAAACTTCCAGGCCCGCAAGACAGTTTGGCAGGTAACGGCTCTAACAAAGCACCCTTACATGACCTGAGTTCAACACCCGAGACTCATGCAAAGGTGGCAGGAGGGAACGGACTCCATGAAGTTGTCTTCGACCTGTACATGCGCACTGTGGCACACCTGAGCCCTACACACATTATAAACTCTCAGAATAAGAATAAATGAAACAAAGGTAAGAAGAAAAAATTCAATCGTTTTTCAATTTGTACACACAGTAGAAGCCCTTGCCCCTGACTTCTATGGGAGATGGGCTGAGTTGTCTTCATCATCTTTGTTTTCTTCAAACCATGGCCACAAAACAGAAGGCCATTTGGTGAGTGTAAATGTGAGGCTATTAAGTCTAGTGATAAACAGTGGAGGCAAACCTGTGAATTTTGCCTCAGCACAGAGCATCAATTAGCTACAGGGGGAAAATACAATGCTATTTTTAAGTGACTTTTAAAAATTAATTGCAGATAAGTTTATAACTCACCCCCTTTGAATCTGTAATGGCTGAAGATCTCCGACTGGTAATCCATCCGAGGTGAAATATTTCAGCAATTCTTTAGCATCCAGTAATGTGATTGAGTCCCGGGGACCCTCTTTATGGCCCAGCAACTGTTCAGATGAACGAGGTAATGAGCCAGTTCTGGGAAAATAATTTGTATAGTTTTATTAAAGGTGCATTCAAACCCACTGCAGTCAGGAAATGATGATGAGAGCAAAATCCATTACAAAGAGAAAAGGAAAGTTTAGAATTACACGTCCAGAGAAGACAGGAACTACAGACTCTTCAGATATGACCTGTATGTTAAATAATCTGTAGGTCACACTGAAACCTGCAGTTTATTTTAATCGTTCCACTACATAAATTACCATGATTATGTTATTTATTAAATATAACACATGTTAACAATTCAGTACTGCAGAGTTACCAAGTCTATAAAGTTTAAATTTAAACTGAAATCCCACTATATAAATTTTGGAGGCCAAGGATGGAATGTTCCAATTTTCTCTAAATTTATAAGATTACTTAAAGCACAGTCATGAAATGAGACGGTAATGGAAATTCTCTCCAAGGTCTCCTCGAGCCATGCTTACAGCATCGTGAATACACACTGAATTATTATTACATCTGAAATGCATGCAGGACTTTGCTTTTCCAAATGATTTTACTTAAAATATATTCTTAATCTTCACAAATTTCCTTGAAAAAATGGAACAGGTCTTACAGCAAAACAATGTAACACCTAGTGAGTATTTTATAAAACACAATCAGCACACCATGCCTAAAAACGACCATTATTCCTATTTTTCAGATAGACTGAAACATCAGCTACATTACGGACTGAGGATTGCACAACTATTTACAACAGCTCAAAACTAGACTGACTCCAACTAGAAGCTTCCTCTGCCTTTATCACTCCATAAACCAGAAAAATCACACAGCAAGCTATTGAATGAATGAATGAATGAATGAATGAATGAATGAATGAATAAAATACTTTTTAAAAATTATTTATTTTCTGTGCCATGGTGTTTTATGTGCATGCATGCCTGTGTGAGAGTGCTGGGTCCCCTGGAACTGGAGTTACAGACAGTTGTGGGCTGCTTTGTGGGTGCTGGGAATTGAACTCAGGTCCTCCGGAAGAGCAACTAGTGCTCTTAACCACTGAGCCATTTCTCCAGCCCCGAAGAAAATACTTTCATCTCAGAAAAAAACGTTTCATTAGGTCCAGAACCACTCACTGCTCTATCACCATGAAATAAATAAAAATCTTTCAATATGTCAACATGAGTTTAATCACTCAGCTTCATATTAATGAAATTTAAACTTTTTAACATTTATGTAGTGTGTGGATGCATGTATATGTGCACATGTGTGCAGTGCATGTGCATGTGTTTAAGTCCAAATACAACTTGTGGGAGCCAGTTCTCTTTCCATCATGTGGGCCATGAGGATGGAATTCAGGTCCAAGTACCTTTCTTTTCCTGCTAAGCCACTGGATTCTATTTTACTTAGTACTCAAATGCAACATTTTTACAAACAATCCTATGATTAAAACACTGGTGTTGAGTTTTAGCCCCCTGTTTCTACACTTTGAGGATCTGCATATGCTGGCAGGTGTATTTCCCCTCTCTAGCCCTATTATTGTTAAATGGAATAGAATCTAATAAAAATAGTCAAGCAAGAAAACACATGGACATTTTCTATGAATTGCATACTCTGGGTGGACAGGAACTACATTGTGAGTTTAATTTAATTTCTATGCAGGTTCTTTAATAGTATCTTACAATGTTCCTTAATCAGTACTGATCACAACATTGTTACAGGCTAGATGCAATGGGAAATGTATAATTTGCATTTATATAGAATCCCAAAACAAGGATAACAAAGCTGCTTTTAAAAAGACTAATTTGTGATAAACTGAACTGCCAAGATCTTAGGTTAAAAAATAACACAGGCAACTAAGATTAAAATGTTCGCATTCATCCTGTCATAACTTTAAAGAAACTTCATACTTTCATAACTTTCAAGTGAAACTAGGATTTTTATTCCCAATCTTACATGGTAGCAAAAGTCAGGACACAGGTTGTTGAGTGAATATAAAACCAAATTCTTATGCTTTCTGGGTTTCGCCACAGAATGGTTCTCTGTTAGTTTGTCTTAACACTAACAAAATTTTGAAAAGATGCAATGTAACTTGCTCTCACATAGGAATCTGATGTGTTTTTCCTAATGAAGTACCTTCAGTCTTTAGTTAGCACTATAAATAACACTGTAACATAGTAAACAGGGCTCACTCTGATTTGTGAACCCACAATAATGGCTCACAGTTTTCTGCACATATCTGACTCCGGCAGAAGCAAGGAAATGAGGGTGGATGGAGATACACAAGCAATAAAGATACAAAAAAGCATCGCCCTTAGTGTTTAGAGAAGAAATGTAACACTGAGCTGAAGTGTTTATAAAGGACTCAAGAAAGGAAGGAGATGTTTGACCCAGACTCTGAGTGTCTAACAAGCTTCTGGTTCAAGATAGATTACACACACACACATTAAACTCTCCATTCAAACTGAAATCACAATGCTCAAGTACCTGAAAGCAAAACCCACAACAGGGTTAAGAGCAGAAAGAACAAAACAGAGGGGCAAAGAGGTCAGAAAATTTTAAGAAAAGGTAAGCTACCGTAGCACATCAGTGTCAACCACGGAGAAACCTCAAGAAGAGACTATGTCTGATTCCCTTTCTAGGAGGCCACAGGGAGAACTCATTTGAAAATATTGAACATGTATTTCTACAAACTCAAGTATTACCTCATTTTTTGCTTAGATTTTTCAAAAGTTTCTAAATTCTGAAGAACATGTCTTTCTGGCCATTCCAGAGGATTGGTTTCCATTAGAGTTGAAGAATAAGGTTCGACTGTACTGGCATCTAAAGAGAGCAAAATAACCATCAGTACTGAAAAACACTAACATAACGAACGCTCTATGTGAAATATATCTCACTCTGCATGTGATGACAACCACCTGTAAGCCTCGCACTTGCGAGCCTAAGTCAGGAAAATTACAATTTGAAGCTAGCTTAGGCTTTATTGTGTGTGAGTTTAAGGCCAACCTGGACGAACTAGTGAGACTGTCTCTAAACAAACAAACAAACAAGCAAATGAATAAATAGTGATAGGTATATATAATGGAGTGAGTGAGTATGTGTGTGAGGGCTAAGAACTCAATTGAGACATTTGTTAAAACCTGTCAAATGACTTGAATTGTATAAAAGGTTCCTGAAAAGATTATTGGATATGAAAATAAAGTATCTTCGGATAAAGCTTATGTGCTATTACTGATAAGATGCAATGAACCTGTTAAGACCCATATGAAACAGATGTACAAGTTAGCTATTCTTAATGACAGAGTTCAGATGAAAGGAACCCACTCTATACTGAACACAATAAATGCTATGTGAATTTTATACTAGAAACAGAATTCTGTCTGAGGAAATGAAAAGTTTCATGTTTTTTTTTTTTTAAAAAAAGGTTACTAAGTCTCAAAAGTATAATACATAACCAATATATGTGCTTATAATGTAATGTTCTCAAGGTGACTTCTGAAACAGTTCTCACTTATCTGTCAACTGGAGGTGCCCTCAAATCCCTAAGGTCAATGTCACTTGACTCCAGAAACTGCAGGGGAGGACCATCTTGCTGGTTACTATGCTGCTGGTTACCAGTCTGCACGTAACTGTGGAACTCGACAAAGCCTAAGAAAGTATTAGCTCAAACACTAACAAGATTACTAACAGTACCACTTTTTTAAATTGTAAACTTACCTTGATTTAAGAATTACTTTACAAAATGAATAAACTAATTAACATATAAAAAATAAAAATTTAATTAAAAAAGAATTACTTTAAACTACTATACAGAGTTCTAATAAATGACTCAAGATGGCTGGACTAATGACAGAATACCTATTTTATGTTTGTAAAGTATTACAAAAATGGAAGCAACCGCCTCTTATTTTCTCTCTACTTATCAAACTATTTAACCTTGACTATTTCAAAGTATCTTCTAATACCTACATTTAGATGCCCTCAACAAACATCATCAAAACACACCATTTCCCATTTCTTATTAACAGTGGTGAAATACATTTTATAGGGTAATGAGCTTTATAGCAAAGCAATGTACTACTTAATGGAGACATGGCTTTATAATAAAAACATACAGAAAATAATCAATACCAGTTCTGCACCATTGCACACTCTGAATTCATAAGAGGATTCAAGTTATCTTTAAAAAATAAACAAATTGTCCCTGCATATAAAAATAAAATTAATTACTAACTGAGTATATAACAGAAATAGGGCTCATGTAGTCCAGTACTACAGTGAACAAAACTAATAAATGTCAAGTCTTTGAAGTAATATTCAAACATAATTCTTACAGTAAAATAAAATACAATATTTTATTTATTTGCCTCTGAGGATACTATACCATGCCCCTCTTAAAAATGTAACAAAAGGCTCCCATAAAAAAAATCAAGAAAATTATTTTTTGTAATATCTTATTTTACAAGATAAAGAAATAAAAATAGACTCAATACAATTAGGAAAACAGGAAAAAGTGACCTTCACATCACAAATTTCAGGAAAGAGAAAGGTAGTAATATCACTATGTGTGGCTAAAGAGGATAAGCCATTACAATCTTACAGCCAAAGTAAGAATAAGTCACAACGTAAAAGTGCTATTATTAGTGCTATAAACCATTTCATAAAGCAATTATAAACATAATACTAAATGTTTGAAATAATAAAAGGGATTATAATCTCATTTTATTACTTCTAACATCTGTTAATATTCTTATTATTATTAACAAGCTCATTTACACAACCTTGCCAAGTGCCCAGAAGTGCCAAGAAGACACTCGCTGTGTCAGACATCAGGCACCACATCCACTGGAAAGCCTCCAGCTTCAGCAGTGAGTTAATAAGCTGGCTACGTTATGGCATCTTCTACATGTGACTTGTCACTTGTTATACTTGCTAGGGTTTACACAGAAACAGTACAAATCATCCTGTATTGCTACTAACTACAACTGTGTCTGGTTGCAGTGTGCCACCATTTGAAATTGATTGGCCTTACTAGTTTACATGCAGATCAGTTTACAGGTAGATGTATTTATTCAAATCAAAGCTACAGGAATGTCAACAGTCACAGCTGTATTTTTAGGAGTCAGGCTCGCATGTGCAACCTGTCAGCTTTCTGTTCACATTCTACAAGTCTTCATCTATTTGTTTAAGTGAGTAATTTGGGGAGATCCTCCTCCTATATGCTAGGCTCTGTGCCAGGTCCGGCAGCTGAGGAGACAGCAAATAAGTGTGTCCTGTACCCTCAAGACACTATGGTGTGCAGAGACGACAAGTATCAATAACAATCAGATAGATTATGCACTATTTAAATTTATGCCACGTGGGGATCTGGAAAAGATCATCCTGAGCGAGCTATCCCAGAAGCAGAAAGATGCACACGGTATATACTCACTCATTTAGACATATAATAAAGGATAAACCTACTAAAATCTGTACACCTAAAGAAACTAATCAAGAAGGAGGACTCTTGCTAAAATGCTCAATTCCTATCCAGAAAGGCAAAGAGGCTGGACATCAGAAGAAGGAGAAAAGAGGGAACAAGTCAGGAGCCTGACACAGAGGACCTCTGAAAGGCTCTGCCCTGCAGACCATCAATGCAGATGCTGAGACTTATAGGCAACCTTTGGGGAGAGTGCAGGGAATCTTAGGAAAGAAGTGGAAAACAGTAAGATCTGGAGAGGACAGGAACTCCACAAGGAGAGCAACAAGAACCAAAAAATCTGAGCACAGGGGTCTTTTCTGAGACTGATACTCCAACCAAGGACTATGCATGGATATAACCTAAGACCCCTGCACAGATGTAGCCCATGGCAGTTCAGTATCCAAGTGGGTTTCCTAGTAAGAGGAGCAGGGACTTTCTCTGACATGGTCTGATTGGCCTGCTCTTTAATTACCTCCCCCTGAGGGGGAAGCAGCATTACCAGGCCACAGAAGACAATGCAGCCACTCCTGATGAGACCTAATTGACTAGGATCAGAAGGAAGGAAAAGAAGACCTCCCCTATCAGTGGACTTGGGGAGGGGCATGCATACAGAGGGTGGAGGAAGGGAGGGATTGGGAAGGGAGGAGGGAAGGAACTACAGGGGGGATACAAAGTGAATAAAGTATAATTAATAAAGAATTAAAAAAAAGAAAATAAATAAATTTATGCCATGTGAAATAAGAAAAACAGAAGAGTACCAATATGATGGAAACAGTTTAAACTAGCCAAGGCCCGGGAAATTATCAGAGAAGACGACACCAGAACATCCACAGAGTAGCTATAAGGAGTCAGGATTCTAGGCCAAGGACATGGAGTATGTAAAGCAACAAAGGAAAATAATAGGACATGCCCCAGGATCAAGCTGACTGTTGAAATAAGGAAAACAGAAATGTGCTTTTTGGAAATCAGACAGAGCACAAGACCAATATCAGCTAAGGACTGTATAAGCCACAGAGAGGATGATGCAGTCTGTGTAAACGAGAGCAATTAGCTCAGTTTGAGCAAAGGAATGACATAGGGCCTCAGACATAGCTCACCTATAGCCCAATGCTAATAGCATCCTAGGCTTGATTGTCCAGGTCACGTCAAGAAGTATATTCTATCTCTCAGCTCCCTCTCATTTCCCAGGCAAATCCTCTGGCAAGCCAAACCTCTCTCTTGACCTCATACTCAATAGCTAGTCTATTGGTTGCTTCTTTCTTACAAAATCTTCTCTCATTCTATATTGTAAACATCACTAGAAACCCTCCAAATCCCTGGGCTTCTAGCAAGGCTCTGTAACTATTCCACACTGGGTCAAGTCATGTCTTCTAAATGTATGTCAGTTTACGTCGCCAAAAACATGCAGCATTCACTTCACAACACTTAATTTAACACACAACTAATCTAATCGTCACAGCAATCTATCCCACTGTGCTTGTTTGAATAAGAATGGTCTCTCTAGGCTGTTATTTGAATGCTTGGTCCTCAGTTGGTGAACTGTCTGGGGAAGATGAGGAGGTGTGGCCTTGTTGAAGGAGGTGTGTCACTAGGGCAGGCCTTGAGTTTAAAAAAACTTGTCCCATTCCTAGTTAGTTCTCTCTGCCTACCTGTGGAGCAAGATGCGAGCCCTTAGTTGTTCCTGCCCTTTGCTCTACCCTGATAGGCTTGAGCCTTCTGAAACCATAAGCCCAATTACAGACATTTTTTATAAGCTGCCTTGGTCATGGTATTTTATCACAGAAATATAAAAGCAACTAATATATTCACCCTTCAATTTAACAGTAAGGACAGGAAGGTGGAGAGATCAGAAAATGTGCCCACTGTTACACAGCAGGTAAGCTGCCGAGCCAGCATTCAGCCTTGCTATTCTTCCAGAGCACACACTGTAACCAGGAAGCATGTTCTCTCACTCTGGGCACATTATCCCATTCACAAGTGACACAATAATGTCTCCACCGTTCTTTGTATATCTCTGAATTGCTATTTGATGTTGGTTCTGCCACTGAACAACAGGAATAGCACAGCCGGCAGGTGACACATTTGTGGTGCTTATTTTTTTCTAAGTATTAACTCACTTAATCCTCACAAAAAAATCCCATATAGTGAGCTAAATTATAACTGCCATTTTACACATAAAGAAACCCAAATGTGGAGGTTAAGCAATTCTCCCAAAGACACCAAAGACACACACACTCCACCACCACCAAAATTTAAATTAACAGAAATCTTACCATTTGCCATGCCAGCAGTTTTCACTTTGTCTGTTTGTGTTAAAACTGCTTTGGGGGTGAGAGCATCAAAATGATCTAAAAAGCGCCCCCTCGTGAGCACCAACAGGCTTTTGAGTTCATCAGGAGAAATTGTTTCAGGCTGGTTTGCAATTTTTCTTCTTTCTGCAGGACAACAGGCACAGTTAACCATGTGACATTTTCTGAGCACCTGCTATAGTAGCTCCTGTGTCTACTATTTTTATTAAATATATTTTTGAATATAAGACAAGTATCTACATTCCTATGTAGCCATATTTTCATTTTGATCTTATTTACAGGTAAAAGCAAAATTTTAAGTTATTATGTGAAATGAGGAAAAAGAGAGTAATTGGTTAACACTACGAGTTGATGGACAATAAAACCAAACATACAAATCTTTAGAAATACAGAGCATTAAAAATGGTCTTACGTTCAAAGAGCTGGCCACTGAGTCCATACCAGAGACAGCCCCTGCTCCCTATACTAGAGAACCCACATGGAGACTGAGCTGCCTATAGGCTACATCTGAGCAGGGGGTCTAGATCCTCTCCATTAATGGTCCTTGGTTGCAGTATCGGTCTCCACAGGGGCCCCTGGACCCAGATTTGTTGGCTCTGTTGGTTTCTTTGTGGTGCTTTTGTCCCCTCTAGGTCTTTCTATCTCCCCCTTCTTCCATAAGATTCTTTAATCACCTCTCGTGGGGGGCAGCCTTGCCAGACCATAGAGGAAGACAATACAGACTGTCCTGATGAGACCTGATAGACTACAATCAGATGGAAGGGGAGAAGGCCCTCCCCTATCAGTAGACTAGGGGAGGGGCATAGGGGGAAAGAGGGATGGAAAGTGGGACTGCAAGGAGATGAGGGAGGGGGCTACATCCAGGATACAAAGTGAATAAATTATAATAAATTATTAATTAATTAATTTTTAAATTTAAAATTTTATAAATAAAAAATAATCTTACATTCATGTTTACATGATGGCTATTCTTGACTGTCAACTTGACTACATCTGGAATTAACTAAAATCCAAAAATGGAGGCGACACCAAGTGAGGGATTTTTTTTTTTTTTTTCCTTAATGTGAAGTAGGAAGATCCATTTCTAATCTGGATCTTGAGGTGGGAAGAGATACACCTTTAATTTGGGCCACACCTTCTGCTTGAAGCCTATATAAAGACATGGAAGCTTCTGCTTTTTGCCTGCTTACTCTCACCTCGCTATCAAATCCACCCCTTCAGTGGCCTTAGCACTTACTTCCTTAGAATTCCAGCATCTACTGAAGACCAAATGAGATGACCAGCCTTGTGGACCAAGCAATTACTGGATTCTTGAATTTCCCATTTACAGCCAGTCAGTGTTGGATTAGCTGGGCCACAGCCTATAAGTCATTCTAATAAAGCCTTTTCTCTATATTTAGAGAGATTCATCTTTTAAGTTCTGTTACTCTAGAGAACCCTGACTAATACAGTATATAAAATTAACACCCATAGAACTTTCTATTAAATGTAAGATCATAGACATTCCTGTTTCTTCCTTCTTTGACCTTAAAGTCAGGGCAAAACTTTAAAACAGTAACAAGAAAGAACTAATGCAGTGACATTTCTGAACAATCTGTGGAAGATAGAAATAAGTAAACTGAGTCAGCAGAACAAAGAAGGGATCACTTTAGGTATCTGCAGAGAACAAGGAGTATGGGTAAATGCAGTGAGGTACCAGCCTCAAACCTGACTAGACACAGGGTTAGTCAGAGCTCAAGCTCTGCTCATCACTCTTGTCCAGCCTCAGAGACAGCCATCACTTGCTTCCACTTTAGTTTTGTCTTAATTATTGCAAACTGTGGAACTTCAGGTATGTAGAAAGGTTACAGTAAAGATGAGATTAAATGTAAGTTAAATAAAAGTCCTATAGCTCTAAACAGGATTCCAAGCCCCACCATCAAAATACCAACGGCTACAATGCCCCACGGAAAGGATTAGAGTCAGAGTGATATATTCAGCTTTGTGACATTGTGACAAGGATGTCACCTATAAAATTTGTTGAGTCCATCTGGGCCATGTTCACAGCAGTGGGCCACAAGGGGATTCTAAGAATCCCCACGGAGAGAAGAGTCTTGGATGCTGATGCTAGGACGGGGTTAGAGGCAGGCTCAAATCAGAGTACCGAATCCTCTGCCTCCCACTCCCCAGTGACTTTTGCCAGGTATTATATTACAAACTGGAAAGAAAAGCTGCAGTTGAAATCAGGATGGACAGAAAAGAATCACAAGCCTTGAAAAGGGCTAAGGGGATAGGGCTCTGCATTACCTATGCTACGATTACCATTGCCCATGTAAGAACTTCCAGGAAGACTTCCAGTTCTTCCTTGCTCCAGTCACTCACTGAGCGGGATATGACCAACAGACTTTGACTAACCCTCCTCTGTCACTTTCAACAGAGCCAGCCAATCTCCAGGATATCCTCTCTGCAATATTGCCAGGGACCTTTCCCTGTAGGGTTGGTCTGTAGCTGGCTAGTTCTGGCAGTTATCCAAGAGCTAACTTCAAGACCTGATGAGAAATCTAGCTGATCCATGATTAAAACATCACAGCATTTTCACTTATAATTTATCTGCACATTACTTAAGGTTGTTCTTAAATTGGTTGCAACTTTGGAAGAAGAAGTGTTGCTATGTTCTTTCAAGCTAGAAAACAACAAGAGAAAACCAAGCCAGGGTAACAAAGAAAGGCAAAACAAACAAACAAACAAAAAAGGATTCAAAAGAAACCCCAAAACATTATAGAAAACAAGAGAAATAAGTAATATTTTGCTAAAATAAAAATGATGCTAGAATAAGTACAGGCTGCATTGATGAAGGAAAAATTATAGAAAAAAAAAAAGAACTCTTTGCCAGGTGTGGTAGCATACACCTGCAATCTTAGCATACTGGATTTTTAGTGGGACTAAAAATAAAGAGCTGAAGGTCATTCCCAGCTACATACCTATTTCACCACTAGGCCACATGAGACCGTGTCTCAAAAATCAATCAATCAATCAGTAAGACTCCCATAATTAAGTAGGTGAGAACTCAAATGTTTAAAACCCCATAAAGGGTCTGTAAAATGAAATGGAATATGTGCTGTAAAGATAGAAAAGACAACATGGTAAAAGAGAAGAGAAGAGAAGAGAAGAGAAGAGAAGAGAAGAGAAGAGAAGA